GGGCTGCCAGCCGGGATCCCGGGTAGTCATTTCCTCATCCTTGTTAACATTTGCAGCTTCCAGCGTGATGCCGTGGGGAAATATGAGCAAACAAAAGACTGCTCTGCATATTTTTAGGTAACTAATCCTAAAGGAATGGTGCATGTATTGCTGACCAAATTACTGCATAGACACAAACAGTGACTTATTGTTATGTAAGAGGATTAGACGTATTTTTGTTTTTTTTACTTAGTAGGAGGGGATTCTATTAATGAGTAATGAGACTTGGGAACAATTAAAATTTTAGATTCAATACTTAAAAAAATAAATAAGCCTGATTCATATTGTATGTATTAGTACCAAACCCAGTTCTGGTCATTAGAGCTGGTCCTGGGACCATGCATGCTGTGTTTAAATCCCAACTGTGTAATGCTCTGTCAGCGTTTCTTCCAGCCTCTAGCTACATCAGCATCATCTATCTTTGTTTACTTACTTAACTTATATCCAGGTAACAGTGCATCAATTACTTAGGGTACCAGTTTCACTGTTTATGAGAGCAGGTCTGACAAACTGCACCACTCCAGCTTCTCTTGGGCTACAGACACATAACTTGTTCAGCTGTGAAGTAGTGACTATCTTTCTGCACTCCAGTTCTTTTGGACACTTTTTATCCCTCTCTCTTGCAAAAAAAAAAAAATTGAGATTCAAGATTTAGCAAAAGGCATCAGAAACCTGTTCAGACAAGGCAAACCTGGGGCACATAATGCAAATATAGAGGATAAATACAAAAACTGTTTCATTTCTAGATTTCGGCCTCATCTGTTTATGCTTTCTCTATGCTTATTGCTAGGTGCAAAGGACAGAGCATATAACAAGGATTGGCAGGGGCTACGATGAAGTCACCCAGTTGCAGGATAAAGAGGCATGGATTTCCATATATAAAGGGACAATATAGTCACCAAAATAACTTTAGCTTAATAAAGCAATTTTGGTGTTTAGATCATGCCCCTGCAGTCTCACTGTTCAGTTCTGCTTATGTAGCCCTAGGCACACCTCCCTGCTTGTGACTTACACAGCTTTCCAAAACACTTCCTGTAAAGAGTCTTCTAATGTTTACACTTCCTTTATTGCAAATATAATTTAGAATGTATTATCTACTCTACTCTGCTCGGTTAATAGCTTGCTAAACCCTGCTGGAGCCTCCTGTATGTAATTAAAGTTTAATTTACAGAGCAGGAAACTGAAAAACATTTAAAGCAAGGGGAGGTGTGGCTAGGGCTGGAGAGAAACAGAAACATACGTTATTTTACTCCTAAATGGCAGATAATTGAGCAATGAGACTTTAGGGGCATGGTCTATAAACCAAAATAGCTTAATTAAGCTAAAGTTGTTTTGGTGACAATTGTGTCCCTTTAATTATATTTTAGAAGTCATGTATATTTTAATAAATGTAAGTAAGCATATTTTTGCTATGTGATATAGGTAAGCATATTTTTGTAAATATAAGTAAATCTAATATTAAAAACTTGAGAAGTGACACTTAAAGATAGATAGATAGATAGATAGATTGAATTCACAAAAAAAAAAAGCATTTAGAACTTACTATGTCCACAGTATCCTTTTGTGGCAGTTCATGTCTGTATACTATTCCTTAAATATGATAAAATATTCATGCATCCTGGTGAGTTAATACTAGATTCCTAAGATAATACAGATTTTTATCATGATCATGGTACTACATTTCTGACAGAGGTCAAAGCTACACCTCTTTAGTTTCCCTCTAACTTATATTTAAACCTATGATGTAGCTCCATTGAATTATTGATGATAAAGGTTGCAGGTCTCGGTAGTGCAGTAAACTATGATTACGAGTAGAATGCACCGCTTGCATGATCTTGGTACTGTGTCATTGCCGACCACAAAGACGGGTCATTATAGGAAATTTGATGATAACCAGCATTTATTGAACAATGTACACCGAAGCCTTGTACAGGAATCTGAACTTCATTGAAACACATATGACATATGGCATTAAAAAAAAATAAAAAATAAAAGCTACATTTTGCATTAAATTATAAATGTAAATCAGAGTGCTGCAGTATAGCTCGTTATAGCAGTATGTATTAACACAGATGCCAGTGTTTAACATTAACTGAGAATTTGATTTGATGATTACCTGTTCCTCAGCTTAAATTAGCCTGTTTCATAACAGATCTTTTAACAGCTGTGGTAGATTTTAGGTGGAAAATAGCAAACCCGCCCACTGAGATGAATCTATTTGTGTAAGTATTTGACTGTATTATTATGGTCTAATTTTGAGCAAACAGACATGTGAGATCTCAGCAGTCTGCCATGCTGTTCTAACGGCTGGCACCTACTTGGCCAGAATGGAAAAGATCACAAGCTGCAGTTTCTCCATCACATAACAGACAATTGTCATTATAATCCAGCAGTAGAACAGAATCTATATTGTTTTTCAGTGGTATCGCCATGAATTATGAAAGTAAGAATGATTGGAAAAAGCAGAAGAAATTGTTCGGTCTGCTCATAATCATTCCTACCGTTCTTATTATTTCCAATAGTGTCACACAATTAGTGTAGTAATACCTACAACATTGTATTATATGTTGGTATTTATATAAAGTGTTTTAGAAGAAAAAATACATTGTTATATATCTTGCTTTCTTATATACAGACTACAGGAACATGTGCATGTCCAATGTCACATGTTAGCAAAGAGACATACATTACAAATTACTCTATAACCACTATGAGACCCTGGAATACACCCAGACATTTATAAAGGCAGATTATTATTCTAAGATTTTTTTTTGTGTTGTTTTTCCTGTGTAGCTCTTTGAAATACCTATACACATTGCCTACTAGTTTCAGCACTATTGCCATTGAGCTTTGGAATATTTTTTAACACCATGTACACAAACACATACACACACAAACATTTCAATACAGAATCGTCCTATACATAATGATATAAATGTATTAAAAAAAACAGACCCTATATATATATATATATATTTTTTTTTTCTGAAAGGTACAGTGACATATTAAAAATTTGGGAGGAGAGGAAGGATTGATGGACAATATGCCTATGTACAAAATAAACTAGTACATGTGGTATGTGAAACAAGTGAACAGTGGAAGATGGTAAGCTTTCCTAAAGAGGTAAGTTTTCAGTGACTTCTTAAAGGATTGGATGCTAGGGGTGAGTCTGATGGCATAGGATAGGGAATTCAAAAGGAACAGGAGAACACTGTAAAAATCCTTCAGGTGAGAGTTGGCAGTGCGGGAACAAGCAGATGTCAGGAGAAGGGAGCAAAGGGAATGAGGGAAAAGAATGAGAAGGGTGCATTTGTTAAGTAAAGATGAAATATAGTGAGGAGTGGAGTTAGTGATTGATTTGTAGGTTAATGTTAGGAGTTTGGTTTGGATCCTAAATGGTACAGGAGACCAATGTAAGTATTGGCAAAGGAAGATGAGCCTGGCGGCAGAGGCGGCTCTAGACTTTATGAGGCCTTAGGCGAAACTCAAACATGAGGCCCCACTAACAAAAAAGTGTCACATATTCACATTGATGCACAGTTTACCTGTGTATGTGCCTGAGAGTGTGTCTGACAGAGAGTATCATTGTGTGTCAATGTATGTCTCTGTGAACATGTTTGTGTTTTTGTCTGAGACCCTATGTGTATGGGGTAGCTGCTTGAAGTGTGTTGTGTGTATAGGGGGGGTGATGTTGAGAAGGAGAGGTGGGTGATGGTGAGAGGGGGTGATGGTGACAGGGAGGTGATGGTGTGGGGGATGATGGTAATGTGAGAGGGGTGATGGTAATGTGAGAGTGAGGGGGGTAACGTGAGAAGGAGGAGGGGGTACGTGAGGCTGCTGAGTGAGGGGGTGGCAATGTGAGAAGGAGGAGGGGGGGGTAATGTGAGAGTGGGGGGGTAATGTGGAGAAGGAGGAGGGTAATGTGAGAAGGAGGAGGGGGGTAATGTAGAAGGAGGAGGGGGGGTAATGTGAGAAGGAGGAGGGGGGGTAATGTGAGAAGGAGGAGGGGGGTAATGTGACAAGGAGGAGGGGGGTAATGTGAGAAGGAGGAGAGGGTAATGTGAGAAGGAGGAGGGGGTAATGTGAGAAGGATGAGGGGGCAATGTGAGGAGGGGTGATGTGAGATGGAGGAGGTGATGGTGAGGGGGGATTGATGCTGAGGGTGGTGGGCGTGGTGAGGGGGTGATGCTGAGGGTGGTGGGGGTGGTGATGCTGTTGGTGGTGTGGGGAGAAGAGGCTGAGGGTGGTGTGTGGGGTGAGGCTGAGGGTGGTGGGGGTGTTGAGGCTGAGGGTGGTGGCGGGGTGATGCTGAGGATGTGAGGGGGTGATGCTGAGGGTGGTGATGCTGAGTGTAACGGCACCCCGGGCATAAAAGGGGTTAACAGCCGTTTAGAAGATCTTCCCCTTCCAGAGACACAGGCACAGCTACTATAGACACTAATCCACCGAACCGGAGAAGCATATAAATGCTGTAAACAGCCGAACCGGAACCATATGAATGCTGTAAACAGCTGAATAGGAAAAACCATACGAAAGGTTTACACTCCTAGCAGTCGAACTCGAACAGCATACAATAAATCCCCCCCAAGAACGAGACAAAGCTGTGTTGAGGGTCAACCTGTGAACAGACAGAGCTGTGGGTTTATTGTTCTTATGTACACATTCGTACACATTAGTACCACCCACAGGGTTTTGGAACACAACCAATAAACACATACAATACACTCAGACACTCCCACACAAAATCCTCCCCTCTGCCTGTGATTCAATTACCTTACACAATGGGTAATGTAATTAGCACAAGCAGAGAAATACAATTTTTCCACATTATTCATAACTTGAAAAGTATGCATCACATTCACATACATTTTCAGAATCAGCATACTCCAAATACAAACATACGTCAAAATCATACAAATTGGTCCAGTGGTTCAAAAGATAGATCGTAGTCCTTTGTGACAAAAGGAAGCATGGCTTTTCTGCCCAAAACCAGTTCCACAGAGTCTTCTATCCTGGAGATAATTGGGAAGTAATCCAATTATCTCCAAGGACAGAGGCAAAACTCCATTGAACACATGGCAGCAAAAGACAATAAAACACATAAAAACATATAACTGTGCAGCCATTGCACAAAACAGGTACATTCAACATATCCCCAGATAGCTCAGATCTGAGCGCACATTATTACTGAATGGCGCTCAGAGCACACACATACAGTTCAATTGCCATGGAGCCAAAGTCTGTCCCATAGTCTTTCATTATACGAATGGGCTCCATGGCATAGCTATCTGGGGTATCACCGCTCAAACAGGGCCAGCACCGAATGACCCGGCTTTCGTGTCTCCGCAGGGGAAAATCAAGCGTTTTACCATGGGGCCATAGTCCAGAGGCAACAGGCGAGCAACCAGGCTTCTCCAATGCAATGTGGCGAGATTGCTCTCGTCACACTGAGGATGGTGTGGGGAGGAGAGGCTGAGAGTGATGTGGGGGGTGAGGCTGAGGGTGGTGGGGGGGTGAGTGGTGGTGGGGGGTTAGAGAACACCTACCTTTACTCCCTGGTGGTCCAGTGGGCTCCCTGATGGTCCGGTGGCCATTGCTTCCGGTCTGCAGCTCCGCAGAGCTGCAGACCGTGTAATCTCGCGAGACCATCAGAGCGTTGCCGTGGTAACTCGCAGCAACGCTCTGATTGGCCAGTTCTCGCGAGACACATGGTCTGCAGCTCTGCTCACTGTGATGTCTGTGGTGGCTGGCCAGGCAGCCAGGAGGGGCCTCGCACCCGGCGGCATATTGGGCAAGCCGCTGGGTCCCCTCCTGGTGTCAGGTCCTGACACGGTCTGCCCTCAGGAAGTTAAGGTGGCCACGAGGCCCCAGCTAGCGCGAGGCCTTAGGCGGCCGCCTAAACTGTCTAATTAGAGAGCCGCCTCTGTCTGGGTATACACTGTGGTGGTGTAGGTGGAAGTGGCAGTGGAGGAGGAGGAGGAGGAGGTAGCCAACACTGTTTTTTTTTTTTTATTGGGGTAGACAACAAAATATTGGGACATATAAAAAAAGAAAACAAAGAATAAGTGCACTCGAGTATAACAATGGCTGGGTGAAGCCGGTATAAATGTCTATTCTGCACAAGGTACAGACAAGTCTGGTGGGATCCATGCCTGGTTCATTTTAATAAACGTGAGCTTGTCCACGTTGGCTGTTGACAGGCTGCGCTTGTCTGTGATAACGCCCCCTGCCATGCTAAACACACGTTCAGACAATACACTGGCTGCAGGGCAGGCCAGCACCTCCAAGGCATAAAGGGCAAGCTCAGGCCATGTGCCCAATTTGGAGACCCAGAAGTTGAATGGGGCAGACCCATCAGTCAGTATGTTTAGGCGTGTGCACACGAACTGTTCCACCATGTTGCTGAAATGCTGCATCCTGCTAAGACGTTCCATATCAGATGGTGGTGCCGGTTGTTGTGGCGTGCTGGCAAAGCTTTTCCACGTTTCAGTCATGCTAAACTGGCGGTGACCCAGCTGCGTTGGTGACCTCTTCCTCCTCCTCCTCCTCTGCCTTTGCCTTGTGCTTCCACTGAGCCCCCAGTGTCAGTTGGGAATGCCCTCAGCAGTGCGTCTATCAGCATGCGCTTGTAGTCGCGCATCTTCCGATCTCGCTCCAGTGAGGGAATTAAGGGTGGCACGTTGTCCTTGTAATGTGGATCCAGCAGGGTGGCGACCCAGTAATCAGTACAAGTTAGAATGTGGGCAACTCGGCAATCGTTGTGCAGACACTGCAGCATGTAGTCGCTCGTGTGTGCCAGGCTGCCCAGATACAAGGACAAGCTGTCCTCTGTGGGAGGTGTATCATCTGTGTCCTCTGTATCCCCCATGCTCCAGTGATGCCCACGAGCTGCGTTGGGTGCCACCCTGCTGTGAACACGGTTCCTCCTACTCCTCATCCTCATCATCATCCTCCTCATCCTCCAGAACTGTGCCCTGGCTGGACAATTGTGTACCTGGCCTATGCTGGTGCAGGAACCCACCCTCCAAGTCACTTGTGAATGACTGGCCTGATAACCATGGAAATGACCCCTCTTCCGCCTCCTCTTCCTCCTGTGCCACATCCTCTTCCATCATCACCCGCAGCGTTTTGTCAAGGAGACATAGAAGCGAGATAGTAAGGCTGAGAATGGCGTCATCGGCACTGGCCATGTTGGTGGAGTTTTTGAAACAGTGCAAAATGGCACACAGGTATCGCATGGAGGCACACTCATTGGTGGTGAAGTGGTGCTGTTCCGCAGAGCGACTGACCCGTGCGTGCTGCATCTGAAACTCCACTATCGCCTGCTGTTTATATTTGACTCTCAGACATGAAGTGCACGCCCCTAAATGTACTATTTAGCAGATCTGCACCCAGAAAATAAGACTGTTTACCAC